CCCACCCCACCCCATCCCCATATCCATCCCATCCCACTCCATCCCATCCCATCCCCCTCCCATCCCATCCCCATATCCATCCCATCCCACCCCATCCCCATCCCACCCCATCCCATCCCATCCCATCCCCATCCCACCCCAGCCCCATATCCATCCCACCCCATCCACCCCACCCCACCCCATCCCGTTCCCAGCCATGATGCTGGGGTGCTTCTCCTCCAGGTGCTTTAATGTATATTCAGATGTAAAAACTTTAATTCCGTATTATTTTTAGTAGCATTGAGAGAACACTACTGAATCCCAGGCACTGTGATATTTAATAAGAGGGTCTTTTTTAAATTTTCATGTGCACGAACTTGGGATCCTGAATAATTTTACATTCTCATTTCCGTAGACCTTTGAATGTGAAATATGCTTTGCAGTCCTGAGTTTTGAGAGTTCTTGTTCCCACCAGAGACAAGGATTAGAACCGACTGTCACGTGCCGTCTGCACCCAGGACAGCGTAGAGAGCTCTGCTGGCCTTGGGTTCAGGGGCTGTGTGTTTGCCTCGTGTCTGGGGAGTGGGCTTGTTTCTGCACTGCTCACAGAACCCCTACACCCCCCCTCCCCCGAGTGACCAGCCTCCGAGCATCCACAGGACACGTGTGGGAGAGGAAACCCAAGGAATGCTGATTTTGTTGATGTCACTTTTCCTCACACAGTGGGTCTTCCAGAAAAAAAGGGTTGAAAGGGACACAGACCTCGGATGACTGCCACCTAGGGGGGTGCATGACCCTGCACCAGGCTCCAAGAGCCCCTCCGAAATACTAAGAGTATTAATAGCCACAACCACCTCTGTAAGGAGCTGCCGGTTCTCAGATGGCTTGATACCATGGCTTCACACTTTCCTTTCCCAGCCTCCTGGGAGAGGCGTTGACGGCTGTCCTGTGGCTGCAGCTGTGGCTGAGGCATCGGGAACGCATTCTCTCACAGCCTGGAGGTGGGGAGTCCAAGATCAGCGAGCGGGCAGGGCCGGCTCCCCCGAGGTCGTGGCAGAGAGTCATTGCAGGCTCTCCCCTTGGTGTGCACGCCTGCTTCTCCCTGTGTGTTCACATCTTCCCTCTGTGCCTGTCTGTGTCTGCGTCCAACATCCCCTTTTCATAAGGACACAGGCATGTTGGACTAGGTACCCACCCAATGACCTCACCTTATCTTCGTCTGCACAGACCCTGTTTCCAACTAAGGTCACGTGCACAGGCGCCGGGGGCTAGGCCGCCAGCATCTTTTAGAGGGGCCGAATGCAGCCCACAGCAGGTGTATTCTAGGAAGGTTCCACCGTGTCCCTGCAACTTTCTGTAAGGCACAGGCATTAAAAGGAGCAAGCGGCTGCAGCCGACGATGGCCACAGAGAACGCCAAGGTGATTCAGAGCCAGCAGAGCGCCTGAGGGGCCGAGGGGCCAGGGCTCGGAGACAGTGCAGCAGGCTGTCCTCTTGAACCTCGACTCCTCCGGTCGCACTGTGGTCCAGGCGGTCCAGGCCCCCAGTCCCCTCCCTGTCTGCACTCACCCACCTGCGACTTGGCGCCTCCAGCCAGATGAAATATACGGATCAGAGTATTACCCGGGCAATCAGGACATGTCTCAAAACTCATTAGTTCTGCTCAGCTGACCCGAAGTTTCTTTACTTCCGAAACAACAGAATTGCAATGACGTCCGGTCCCTGAGAAGCAGTGAAGTAGCCGAGACGCACCAGATGTCCTGGGGACCCCTCATCCGGTCTGAAGGTTAGTTGTGACTTGGTTTTGACAGACATGAGTCCCGTTGCACCAGCATGCAAGCCACAGCGGCGCTCCCGGGAACCATGGCACCCGGGATGTTCTGCGGACTCAGAATAGCGGACGTACCAGCTGCCGTTCGCTGGGAGCTGACTTCCCGGGTGGCGTTGAGTCCATCACTTGCAGAGTGTGGCCGGGAGGATAGGCCGTTGTCGTACCCACGCTGCAGAAGGAAAGGCTTGGGCTTCGGGAAGTCAGTACACGCTTAGATAGAGCGGTGTTTTGAGCCGTGTAACACGAAAGCTGTAAAGTTTCCTGATGCCAAATAAACACACCGGATGGGTCACAGGCAGCAGGGCTTGGCTAAATTGGAAGATGCTCAAAAAAAAAAAAAAAAAAAAATGGCATTGCTTTCTCTCTTAGAATAAAACTTCCACCAGTTACATTCCATGTCATCTCAAAGGCTGCCATCACTTTTCCAGGAAAACATTTTATTTCCTTTGAGATTGGTTTCATTGTTTTTTTTCAAAAAACTTGGCTGGGGGACATTGGATGCTTTCAGTTTGAAGACAGAAATGGCTAGCTGTCCCCTAATACCTGTCCTCTCCCTCATAGTAAGAGAACCCCCACCCCGTTTTTAGCTAGCAGGTGGCTGGCTGCTGCAAATGAAAACTGTAATTCCCAGCCAACTGCTAAGTCCTTTGAGTAAGTTCTGGCCAATGGGGTGCAAATGGAGGTCAAGTGACAGCTCCCAAGGGGTTCGTGCCCATTGTGTCCCCCTTTCTTCGTCATCTTCCTTCTCAGACCCAAGGGGAGGGCTCTGGGGACAGGAGCTGGAAGGAGCCCCATTTCCAAGGACACCTTAGAACAAGGGAGCCAGGCCTCCGACCTCTAAGTTTTGTGCCAGAAAGAAAGAAACTTCCACGTTCTCTGTCACTGCTATTGGACTTTCTCTCCCTTTTGCAGCTAACTGTAATCCTAGTCTATTTTCCTTTTTTGTTTTTCTTCCTACTTTGATGCCCACCCCCCTTGCCTCTCCGTATGTTCCTACACAAGAACTTCCGGGTTTTGGATGTGGGGTGTGAGCCGGGGTCCGAATGCTGACCAGGGCTTGGGGAGGAAGATGAGGGAGCAACTCAAGGCCCAGGGATCCCCACCTCTTGGTTCTCATCCAAGGTATTTGTGAAATTTGTAAGACCCCAGGTTTGGGGACGTGCCCCAGGCTGACTAACTCAGCGCTTCTGGACCGGGCTCCGGGCTCCAGGCTCGGTGTCGGCATCAGTCACTGCAGGGCCTGTCCTGGGGCCACAGGCTTCTCCTACCCTCTTCCTTTTCGTAAACTGCTGAGGAGAAGTGGTTGACCAGGGGCCCTAATAGGAAAGACGATACGTGTGAATTGCATTCTCATTTATAGAAATGGAACTTGTATTTATTCATAGATATTATAGATAATGTCAAACTTACTGGAGTGGAAAAAGCACTGGGCTTGGAGTTAGGAGACCTGGGTTTGAATATGGACTCTCATGCTTCTAGTTGTGTGGTTTTGGGAACATTCCTGAGTCTTTTGCATCCTATCCATCCATCCATCCAATGTTCCTCCTTCCATCTCTATTTACCTATCTATCCATCCATCATTTTTCCATCCATCCACCCAACCACCCATCCAACCATCCATCCATTTATCTATCCATCTACCTACATATTCATCCACTCACCCATCCATCCACCATCCATCCACCCATCATCCATCCATCCACCCATCCATCCACTCATCAATCCACTCGTCAATCCATCTTTCTATCCATCCAACCATCCATCCATCCGTATATTCATTCATTTAACTATCCATCTACCCACACATTCATCCACTCACCCATCTACCCACCATCCATCCACCCATCATCCATCCGTCTACCCATCCATCATTCATCTATCCACCCACCTATGGGACAGTCATACATCCCTACTATATATCCAGCACTCTCCTTTTTCTCTGCAACGTGGGTATACTACATTGTGGCTCATTTCCCTCATCTATAAAATGGGAACAGTACTAACTTCTACTTCATATAATGCGTTGTCTGTAGAAATTACTAGGTAAGTGCTAGTTATCATCTGTAACCATTGCAGAGAACACCAACTATAATGAGGGTGTAAATTGTCAGCCTCAAAAACAAGGATTATAATTATCCCTTCAGTTCCTCATTCTTCCTCATTGTATGATTAGCTCTTGCGTGCTCCATAACCATCCCATACAGACGTGTAGAAAAGTCATTTAGAAACACAGAATCTCCCAGTTGGTGGAAACATTACATGTTAATTGGGTATATGAACAAAAATATTGTTGGGGACTGAGGGGTGGGATAGACTGGCAGACAAATCTTTTCAGGATTGCCCCCTCCCACCCTGTGCCCACACTCTGTCCCCTGACTGTGCACCCACGCTCCACCCCCCGTGTTAGTTTTCCAGGGCTGGTGTCACAGGACACTAAGTGCCACAGACCACACACCTTGTGGTTCAGGAGGCCAGAAATTCAAGATCAAGGTGTCAACAGGTCTGGGTCCCACCAGGTCAGTGGGGGAGAATCTATCCCAGGTTCTCCCAGCTTCTAGCATTTGCTGCTCTGGCTCTCCTGAGCTGGCAGGATCTCGTCACCGGATCTCTGCCTCTGTCCTCATGTGGGTCCTTACGGGTCCCCTGGTACCTCTGTGTCATGCGGCCATCCTATAAGGACACGGGTCATATTGGATCAGGGGCCTCTCCTGCTTCAGTGTGACCGCATCTGAACCTCACTGATGACGTCTGCAATGACCATCACGTTCTGGGGTAGTGGGGTCAGGACCTCAACATACATCTGCGGAGGACACACAGTGCACTTTGTACTGGTGATATTGAGGAAGAATCCCTGGGTGTCGTTCTTGAACGTTGCTGCCAACAAATCTTACGCTAGCACCACGATGTTCTAATTTCCTTCTGGGAACCCTTCCATGGCCGTTCGCTTTGCTAGATCCCTCATTATTTCTTGCTTGCTAGAGCTTCCTTGTACAAAGAAAGAAAGTTTAGGTGATGTCTGTCGGATGCTCAAATGTCCCAGAAGGAAGGGTCGGGAATCCTCATGGAGGCTGCTCGGCAGCGGGGAGCTGGGGGGTTTAGAGGTTCTCCATCACTTTCCCACAGCAGGGGCTGTGTCCCCGTCACCAAAGCACTGATAATTTAGTGTCTTTGCAGAATGACTGTTTGTGTGGGTCACCCCCAGTGACCACGGCAACCCTCCTGCTCAAGCTATCCTGCTGAAGGACCAGTGTTTTACTAAAAGATTGACAGGTGGTCCAACCGCGGGACCTGCTTGAGCTCACGCCACATGACCTGTCTCTTCTGGGCAGGCAGACACCCCCGCGACGGCGAGGGTCATGTTACAACGTGCACTCGCTCCCCATTTTGTGGGGACTGGTAACCACTGCGGGGCCACAGTAGCCGGCGGACCGTGCTGGCCTGTGGACCCCACCTAGAGAGGCTCTGGGTCAGTGGGTCGGGTCGGAGCGCTTGGCTGCTGGTAACGGAAACCGGGGGGAACAGACGCAAGCAGACAGGCTCATTGGTCTCTGAGGCTGCATCCGGGGTCTGCCCTGGGCTCCCTGTGGAGTGGGGTCTATCTCTTCCGTCCCCCCTGCGCATGCTCGCATCACAGCCCTGCACTGAGGACGGGAGGCTCGGTGCACCTGCTATGGCGCCCGCGGAGGCTGGATCTAGGGACCAGCCCTGCCGCTGTTGAGGAAGCTGGCTGTCCAGTGCCTGGGTGCCTTTGGAGGTTACAGCCGCTCCAGCCCGCGTCCCCAGGGTTGTCGCCCAGCACGCTCCTCCCCCTGCAGGAGAGGATTGCCTCTGCTCCAGGCAGCCAGGAGGGGGTCCCCAATGCCACTGTTGGACCACTCTGCTGACCCTGCACACCTGTGCTAGCTACGCCCTGGGGACCCAGAGTAGCACCTATGTCGGCAACGGTGCAGGAGACAGGATCTCGGGTGCCCTTGTCACCCAGGTGGACACCCCAATGCAGAGGGATGGGACGGGGTGTACCTGGCATGTGGGTCCCACCCACTCTCACTGCAGTCTCTCCCCGGGGGGTGGGGGCTGCCTTCTTTCTCTGGTTTTCTCCTTAACCGATTAGGAGTCCCCGCCCCGTCCCCTTCCCTTAGAGCCTGACACCAGTCTGCGCTCTGCCTCTGGTTTTGCCCCTTCTGGATAGTTCTCTGGACAGCTTCATACTGTGCACGGTCCCTTGTGACCCTCCTCTTCCGCTAGGCTGATGTTTTGAGCTTCCTCCATGCTGTAGCACACACTGGGACTTTGTTCCTTTCTGTAGCCAGACGATATTCCTTTGTGTGGATGGACCACATTTTGTTTGTCTGCTCATTCTTTCTTTTTTTTTTTGAGAGAAAGAGAGACAGAGCGAAAGCAGGGGAGGGGCAGAGAGAGGGGGGAGACACAGAATCTGAAGCAGCTCCAGGCTCTGAGCTGTCAGCACAGAGCCCGACGCGGGGCTCAAACCCACGAACCGTGAGATCATGACCTGAGCCGGAGTCAGACGCTTAACTGACTGAGCCGCCAGGCGCCCCTGTCCAGTCATCCTTTGATGAACGTTGGGGTTGTTTCTACCCGTGGGCTGTTGTGAACAGCGCTGCTGTGAACACCGGTGTCCCTATGAGCATTCGAGTCCCTGTTTCCAGCTATTTTGGGTCTGTGCTTCCCTGTGGTTTTACTGTTCCTCGGGTCTGGGGAAGCCCACGCCTCTGCAGTGCCCAGTCCTGTCTCCACGCGCAGCGCCCAGCCCGGCTCTCAGCCTCCCCTGGGGCTCGGGGTTGCCCTGAACGCCGGGCGGGCTGAGCCGTCCTGGGGAGGTGCTGCTCTCTCAGGCTTGGGACACCTGCTTCGTCCCCGTTGGGAACCCGCACGCACACGGACCCGTGCGGAGCCTCGTACCACGGTGCTCCGGGTCAGTCCAACCCAGACAATAATGTCACCAAGCCGCGGGCGCCGTGGAGAGCATGCTCCATCGCTGTTCCGTCCTGAGGCCTCCGTTCCACCCTCATGAGCTCGTAGCACTGGGGCCACAGGCGGTACACGGGCCCCGGAGAGCGTCCCTCCCGGTCCGGGCGGACCTCACAGCTGTATCCGTCTCGTTCCCCGCAGGTGAGCATCCAGGTGCGGAGCCGGGCCTGGGAGCCGGTTACCTGGTCCTCGTCGTGGTGGCCGTCTTTGCGGTGGTGGCCGGGGCGGCCGCCCTCGCCCTCGCGCACTACCGGAGGGCGACTGGCAAGTACAGCTTCAGGGCGGGGCCGGACGACTTCAGCTACCAGGTGTTCTATGAGTAGGCGCTCCCGGCGGGCCCCAAGGTGGGTGAGCCCGCTCGCCTCCCTCGCCCGTGTCCTGCCCCCGCCACCGGGGAGCCCACATGGCGTGTGCGGGGGGCTCTGGGGCGCGGTGCGTGGTGGGTGGCACGTTCCATGCCCTCAGCGGAAAGCCACAGAACACAGCGGGAGGGGAAAAGGACCATCATTGTTCAAGGTCAGGTTCTGTCGACTTGGTCAAGTGCAGGCCTCGCGGAGCCCCGGGGAGGTGCGGCGGATCGAGAGCCCGCCCGGGTGACCCTCTGATGCCAGCCCTGTCCCCCTCACTCCTGGTGGCCCCAGGTGAGGCCCCGGGCCGCCAGTGCCTTGGTTTCTTCATTTTTCCTCCTCCGTAGCAGGGCTGTGTGAGCGAGGACCGTCTGCACGAAGGGTAGGAACCAGGTGAGGAAGCGCAGACCCCGACGGCGTCAGGCACTGATGCTGAGTAAATCCTGCGACTACTCTGTCCCGTGTCCCCGTCGCCGTGCCCTGAGCACGAACTGTGCCTCGGGTCCGGGGCGATGTGATGGGCGCGCATCTCTGTCCTCTCCCTGAGGTCGAGGACCTGCACCCCCGAGCGTGAAGTCGTGCCTCTGAGCTGTCATGGTCACAGGGTGCGTGGACTTCCCTCTGGGCCCGAACACGGCTCAGCACAGACATGTTTCTGCTGAGCGCGGTGTTCGTAGCGCCGAGCTGCGGGGGGCAGCGCCCGGGACTGTCATTCCTGTAAAGGCTTCGAGGTTAAAAAGAAAAGAAAAGATCACAGGCCACGCTCGGCAGCTGCCTGCCGTTCCTGCCTCCAAACACTGTCAGACTCCATGTGGCTGCAGAGATGACAGTGGCCTGAGATGGGCTCTGGCCCTGAGGCTACACTAAGGTGTCCTGGGGACTGCCCCTCACCTGTGCTTCATCTTACCTGTGCCCTCACCTGTGTCCCTCACCCGCACCCCCTCACCTCCTCACCTGCACCCCCTCACCTCCTCACCTGCACCCCCTCACCCGCACCCCCTCACCTCCTCACCTGCACCCCCTCACCCACACCCCCTCACCTGCGCCCCTCACCCCTCACTGGCACACCCTCCCCTGCGTGTTCTCTGGACCCTCCCTGCTAGGGAGCTCCCTCCGCTGTCAGGAGTCAAGGACTTGGGAGGTGGCCCTGAGCAAGGAGGCCAGTGCTGTCACGTCTCGTCTCCCAGCAGGGGACATTTGCTTCTCACTCTCTCCCTGCCCTCACAACCCGTCACATGAGAAGGTCCCACTCGGCAGGAATTTCCGGGGAGGAAATGGCAGATTCCCCGGCAGCACGGACTTGCCCAGGGCCACTCCGAGTCGCCGGTGCTGGGGGGCGTCCCCCAGGGAATCTCCGCTCTCCCTGCCCCCGGCCTCAGCCCTGCCTCCGCGCTGGCCTCCCTGCTGGGCTGTCTGCCCCCCACCTGCTGGCTGCCTGGAAGGATGCATGTGTCCCCCGTGTGGCTCGGGGCCCTGATCCCCCCCGGCAGAGCCTTGCCCTCAGATTCGGGGGGTGCTCTGTCTGCACGTTCCGCAGACTTGAGCTGCGTCCTGCCCGGCCCTCGGCAACCCCGCAGCTTATGGGCTTTCTTTCTCTCCCCGCTCACACGGCTCTTGGGAAAGGAAGCGGTTTCTTCCTGATACTAGCAAATCCCCAGGAGCGCGGAGCTTGTGGGTGCGTCAGAGCCCTTTCTAAACACCGTAAGCACGTAACTCACTCAGGTTCCCAGAAACGGCGTGAGGCTGTGTTCTTACCACTTTTACAGACGGGGACCTGGCGCAGGCAGGCGAAGGAGTGTCCTGGGAATGTGACTCGGCAGGGACAGAGCTGGGATTCGGGTCCAGGGTCCATCCTTTTAGCTGCTGAGCTACAGTGACTTAAACTAGCGTGCACATGATTGGCTGGTCTTCCTCAGACTAGTGTGCACGTGGCTGGCAGGTGTTTAGAATGAGGCCCCCTGGCTTTTCCTTTCACGGGAGACGGGAGACCCGCAGAAGTTCTGTTTTAGCAATTATCTAAGAAATGCGCAATTCTCTCCATGGGGCTGCAGGTGCCCAGCAGTGGAGGGAGCAGCATTGTGGTCAGAAAGAAGGACCCTCCTGGGGCCCTGAAGCCCCTGGGGACGCAGGTGCTGCTCCCACTGGTCAGGGTTCTCTGCCACCCTGAGGGCCCCCGCATGGGGGTGACTGGCAGGAAGTTCAGGTTCAACTACGCTCTAATTATAAATAAGACTCCTCAGCGCGGTGCCTCCTAGTCTCTGGTTTTGGGCCCACGAAGTGTGAGTCATGGAGACCCTTCTACTTACCGGCACATGGCATCCCGTCCTCTGCCAGGGACACCGTCATGTACACATGCCGCTGTATCCTCGGGGTCTTCCCCAGCCAAGGCCGCCTTCCCCACATTCAGCTCCTTAGTCTCTTGAGATAACAGGAGTTTGAACCAACCCAGCAAACTGTGGTTGATAGGAGCTCCGTCCTTGAAATGAGGAAATCGGGCCCAGAGAGCTCAAGTGAATCTCCTGAGTCACACAGCAGAGGCCAGATTAGCACGCTTCTCCCCAGGACGATGTCCCTTCCACGTGACTCCGTCCTCATTAGAGAAGCTGTAGGGGCTTTGCAGACACACCCCTTTGCTCCAGGACACCCGACAGCTTATGCACACGGTACCTAAGTTCTTGGGACCCTGACCGATGGGCAAAGTCAGACCAGGGCCAGCGCACGAGGCCAGTCACCTCCCTGGATAGAGTTACAAGGGAATTTCAGTGAATTTTAGTGACTACTCATCATGCGAATCCCAACAATGACTCCAGTGCTTGTCCTGCTAGATTTCTGAGGAAATCTGGTTTGCGGGTGCTGAGGTCACCCCGGATGTCCGCCCCCCTTAAAATTAAGATACCGGAGGGGAGATGGGCCGCTCTTCTTTTCTTCTTCTCCCGCGGCTTCCATTTCCAAGGTGAAAGGCATCTATACCTGGTTCTCGAGTTCCTGCAAATATCTGCTCTTTGAAAAACATCTAACAAACCATCCCCACCAGGTCGGCACTGGGTGCAGCCGTCTCTGCAGCCCCGGGTCTCAATGTGTTCTCCGCAGACAGCACGATGGCCCAGAGGCCCCGAGGCTGTGGACGTCGGGCTGAGGGGTCTGGGCCAGGCGCACCTACGTGCTGACGCACCTGCGTACTGACTCTCACTCACTGGACCCCAGTCCACAGCCGCCATGCTTCCTGTTCCTCTGTGCCTTTGGGAGCCGCCACCATTATATTTGGGCACAATCTCTCAGCATCTAATAAGTGTAGAAGTCCTGTCCTGGGGGTGATGATAGCCCTACACGACCCACGCCCTGGGGAAATTCCTGCAGAACCTCTCCTTTCCGGCGTGCACACTGACCCTGGTCACCTTCTCCATGCAGGTGGCTGTGAATCAACCTCAGTTCTTAACCCATCAAGCATCAACAGAAGCCTGCTCTGTCCCAGACCAGAGCTTGGATGAGTCCCAGAGGTGGTGAAAACACGGCCTCTGACTGACCCAGGAGACCCATCGTCTGTGTAGGTCCCAGATAAGCAATGCCTACTAGGGGGTGGGGAGGGCTTTTGGGGCAGGAGGTGGGGTGAGGGGGATGCGCAGAGCCCCAGGCATGGGGGCCTTCAGACCAAGCATAAATGCAGCGCTGCCTTCACACAGATCACCTCCACAGCCCCAGAGCCCCCAGACTCTGCCATCTTAACTGGCTCTTTCTCACCAGTTGCTCACCGCTGACATCCGTCGCCTGCCACCCATCTATCCATCCACCCACTCATCCATCCATCCACCCATCTACCCATCCATTCAGCCACCTATCTACCTATCCCTCCATCTTTCCTTTCATTCATCATTTATCCAACACTTTGTCAAATATATATTTCACACTTTCAAAGATATTTGACAGTGCACTTGAAGTTCTTTTAATAATAGGTCAGTCATAAATATATTGCTAATGTTATTTCTAGCAGACACATATGCTCTTTAACTTTTCTTCTGCATTCCAGGATATTGTTTTCATTTACACAACAGTGACTCAAAAGACACTCCATTAACATGAAAATCTTTATAAGTGGAAATAACTATATATATATATATATACTCATTATTTTTCCAAGTATTTTCACAGCCATTCAAATATATAATTTTACCCCAGGAGAGGTACTATTTATCCATTACATAATGGGTAAGCAGAGAAGAAATGGGTGAGTCATTTACATAAAGTCACAAAATGAATTAATAAGGAACTGGGTGTAGAATCTAAGTTTTTATTTTACAATGTTCTCCATTACATCATACTGACAGAGAGTGCTTTTTTTTTACTTTATTTGAAACAAATTGAACTGTATTTGATAGCTAACACCTGAAAGTATAGCGTTCTTCCTCGATGAACTTAGAGTTACAATATGGCCATAGTCATTAATTCATGAGATTAATTTTGTTGAATGTAACTAACTTCCATTAATATTTGGAGAATGTGAGTGTTTTGATTTGGTAGATGATCTCGAGAGTCAATAAAGACTTACAATATGTAATACATGCAGCTAAACTGATTTTGAGCAAGTAGAATAAATTGCATGTGACATTGAACTATGACCGTGCTGGCTGCTCTGTTTGGTTCAGTCGCATGCCATGCTTACTGGGCATCACTGAGGGCAGGGTGCTGTGCCGGGCATTCTGGGGACACCAGGAATGTGTCTGCATCCATTTGTTCCCATATTGGCTCGGTACCTGTCACTCACCTTTCCTGAAAAGGGGCAGTAAACGTCTCAGTAAATCCAGGCTTCAAGACCCAGGATGTGTGGCTCACAAGCCTCCCACATGACTATTCTTACTTGATGGCTGAGGAAATGGAGACATTGTGTGACGCTCCCAACATCAAACAGCTAGGAAGTGGTGGAGCTGGCATTAGACCCAAGCCTGTCTGGTTGAAAGGTCCCCGCTCCTGCTCTGCTCCTGCTGCGGGACCATGAACATGACCGTGAACTCTCCCCTTGTTCATCTAGTTGTTGCAACAACCCTACGAGTTACACGTCACTGATCCCATTTTACAGATAAGCAAACTGAGGCTAAAAGTTTAAATTACCGCTCTAAGCAGCTCATGATGGAAACCCAGATCGTCTCCCTCCTAGTTCAGGCTCTCCCTGCTGCTGCGGAGAAGACTTAGTTGGTTTACTGGTGAGGCATGGGAGCCTCCGAGGACCTCAGAACTCAGAGTCCCTCTGAGATGTGGAGACAGCACTCAGGGGCTCTGCAAGGTGATGGCTTCGATTGGCTGAGGTTCTGGGTCCCTTGCAGTTCTCACACTCAGACACCACCTGCAGCCCCAAGTCCTTCCCAGCGCGGGATTCCAGTCTGTGACTCCCCCTCTGCGCTGAAGGGTCAGGTGGAGGTGAGCTCCCGGCCGGCACCGCCTCACACCTGCCACTAGATGGCGCTGCAGACCAGGGCGGAGGTTCCTCTCTTCCTTCTGCAACCAGAGCCCTAATTGTTCTTTTTTTCCGCCTGATTTGAGCCTTTTGGCTGCAAACAAAGGGGAATCTGAAATCGCTCTGCAGGCTGCGGGGTCCTAGGACAGGAGTCTGCTGGGGTGGGGCCGGGGGGGGGGGGTCTCCGAAACAGCTCGGGAAAAGACGCGGGTCTTTCAGGATGGATGGGTCTCCAGAACAGTTATTTCCGTGCGCTGACACTTGCCCCGTGTGGCCAAGGCTCTCCACCAGCACCCCCCGAGGGAGGGGACACCCCCTCTCCTCTCTCTCTCCGCGTCCGGGAGGGAAAGGCCAGCCACACCAGGAAGCGGTCTCTCTGTGCGAGGGAGCCCCCAGGGAAGGAGCCAGTGGTCCCGGCTTCCCGGGATGGGGACTCCCGGTGGGGACCGTGGTGGCTGCTTCCCGTAGGTCCCCGGGGCCCCAGCAAAGCCGGAGATCTGGCCCAAGTGGAGGAGGAAAGCCTTTGCGCTGCAGGGTGGAGATGCTTCTGGCCTGAATGTAGCTTGGGCGACTTTCCAGTCTGAGTGCTGGGGAGGTTATGGTCAGGCAGGGCTGGGGTGTGCGGGGCATGGAGGAGAACCGGGGTGCCCCAGGCTGGCCCCCGACTCGGGATGCTGAGTCTCGGCTGGGTGGGGACGGGTCATTCCCAGCACTGGGGGCTGCAGATTCTCACTCTGCCAGAACCCGGACACCAGAGTGACTCTGATGGAAAGAAATGGTTGCCAGGGACTTCGTGGGGAGTTCTTCAACCCAGAGGCTACCTAGAGTTTGCACCCCACAAGGTAGCACGTAACTGTGGGAGTCAGGGTGCTGTTGAGGTGACGGACACTGGCTGTCCCACGTGAGACATGCCACCTGATTTCTCTGAACCTCAGTTTTTTTTACCTGTGAAATGGGGATGGCGCTAGCGTTGGTCAGGGACCTTGGGCTCCACGTGCTGGAAACATCAACTCCAACAGGCTTTCTGATAAAGACAATTCATGGCCTTTTGCAAATTGAAAGTCCAAGGAAGGGTGGGTGGGCTTCAGGCGAGGCTCGCTCCTTCAGCTCACAGAGACCTGGGTTTGGTTCATCTTTTTTGCTCTCCTTCCATGATTTCAGCTTCAGCCAACAGCTCCCACATAGTCTCCCAATAGCTGTGAGGAGTAATTGGGACTGGGTACTCCTTCATTCACGTGTGGCTGAAGAAAGACAGTGTCGCCCCCAACTGTTGATCGAAGAGGCTGGGATTATGTCTGGGTTGAAACATCCTGGGTCCTGTCCCAACCCTGAGCCAGTCACTCTGGCTAGGAGGGGGTCCTCTTAGCTTTCCCGGGCCTGGCCACTCCATGACCTTGACCTTCACACTCCAACTCGAACCCCCAGGGCAGCAGCAGAGGATATTAAAGACACCACATAGCGGGGAGCCCAGTGCCTGCCCCCGGGTGGGGATGGGCAGAGGGGAGGACTCCCCACTTGGCATGACCTACAGGGGCTGAGACTGTGGGGCAGAACCTCAAAACAATAATCCCTAGGGCCCCCCGAGCGGTCTGTCGGAGGCCCTGAGACCCCTCACCGCCTGGCGGGAGGAGGGCGGCCATGAAGCCCTGGTGGCGGGGGGAGGGGCACCTCCACGCTCACACCGCGCAGGAAACCGCGTCACCGTGGTGGCCTGTGTGGCCTCAGATCCCCGTGGACTGGCCTTCCCACCCTCCGTCTAGGGAAAATCGACTCGCCTGACACCCATGAGCCCAGGGGTCTTACTCAGAGCCGTCAGCTCTTTGCTCAAAGCCGGCCTCCCTCATGCTCCTCCCCAGCTTGGCCAGGGGGCCACAGGGACCCATGTCCTCTGGTGGGTCCCCCACCCGCAGCCCGAGCTGAGGCTAACATAATCCGGCCCCCTCAGGGCCCCAGCAGCTCAGGACAGGCAGGCAGCCCCACCCGCACCAGGACGTCCCCCACTCCCCACCCCACCCCCGGACGGAGACGACGGCACGAGCAGCAGGGACCTCTCCTCCGGAAGCCTCCCTTACCTGCGGCCAGGTGGGCTCCCGCGGGTGGGCAGGGGCCGCACGGAGGCCGGCGGGAGGAGCAGCCTCGGGATCAGGTGTACTGTCCCCCGGCGCCCCCACTGTCCCGCTCTGGCTCCCAGGGCTTCCTGGCTGCTCCCCCTAGTGCAGACCAGTGCCCATCAGGGGCTACTCTGCACAGGGAACGGGGGCTCGGGGAGACAGAGGCCTGGTCTGGCACTGCCCTCCCCAGCCCTGCGGAGGGGGGGGTGTGACAGGCCGATCCCTCTTTCCCGTAAAGGGCAGGAATCCTCTTAATCCTGTTGCAGTGGAGGCTCGGGTCAGGGGCATTTCGGGGAGGGGGATGTGCCAGGGTCCTCAGGACCATCTTCAGGTTCAGGGACCTTTACAATGACTCACGGGACACAGAGGTTTCATCTGTTATAACAGAAGTGTGCAGATGACAATCGGCAAAGACGGAGGCCCCCAGGGAGGAGGCCCGGGGAGGCCAGAGCCGGCGGACTACCCCAAACCCAGGGCTGGACTATGGGGGTGCCTGGGGGGCTTGGCCCGGGGGAGAGCAACCTGCGGCCGGAGCCGGGAAGCTTCCCTTGGTCGTTTCGGCTGCCTCGTGTTTTACACGTCGCTCCAAGTGTTTATAGATACTCTCTTTAGAGTAGCAGAAGCTGCTTTCAGCTCAGCAAAATAAACACGCCGGTAACCATGGCGATCTGAGTATTTCCACACTAGGCAGAAACGACCTCGGTCGGACGTGAGGTTTAATATGTTTATCCAAGGGTCTGGTTCAAGGCAGAATTGATCCAATTGAAAAACTTCAGCCTCTGGGGCCAGTATTTTTCTTTTCTTTTTCTTTTCTTTTCTTTTCTTTTCTTTTCTTTTCTTTTCTTTTCTTTTCTTTTCTTTTCTCTCTTCCCTTTCTCTTCTCCTTCTCCTTCTTCTTCTTCTTTTTTCAATTTTCCAGTTGCCTAACATACAGTGTAGTATTGGCTTCAGGAGTAGAACCCAGCGATCTATCACTTACACACGACACCCAG